AGAAGGAGAGAGAGAGAGAGAGAGAGAGAGAGAGAGAGAGAGAGAGAGAGACAGAGTGCTTAATTTTTTTAAATGATTGAGGACCTCTGAAGTTAAAGACCCACGTTCAAGGACGCTCAGTCTGGAATTCGAACCAAGGCCATCCACTCCGTTGTCCAGCATGATACCAACTGAGCTAAGCACGCCTCCAGAAAGAGAGAAAGAGGGATAAATAGATAAATAGAAATAGGGTCTAACTGTATGTGTATGTGCATATATAGTGATATCCAAAAGAAACTTGAAAATGTAATCACCCAATCATCGTGTTATAGCATAGTACTACCCACTCGTGCAGTATACCAATTTAAAACTAAACAAATTCTGCATCCCCTGACCCATTAATATTCCATCTATGATATAAGAGACGCCCGAGATATGTTCACTCAAAATTGACCTTCAAAAAGTCAGGCTTGGCAAAATTGTGTGAAATCAAAGAAACGTAAAAGTAGGTGTGCGTGTATATTGAGGTACATCAGCATGGGTGGAATGGACATGTATTAAATATGAAAAGAGAATAATATTGTTGTCTCTGCAATGAACAGCATCTTGTGATGATATTTTAAAAAAGATTGGAAAACCGAGCAGTTACAAATACCACGCAAAACCTGGACATCACATGTGCTCATCAGTATTATTTTGTTTTTGTTTAGAAGCTATTGGTTTCGTGTAGAGCAACAAAACGTTTTTTAAATTTATGGACTATGTTAGGGAAATGCTGGACATAATGATCTGTAAGTGAGGAACAGAGGACATGGTTTTGGGTTGTCTGGACTGGAATTAACAAAACGGTGAGAATCACCGGATGGCTTGGTTTAGTGGAACGTCATTTCTTACTTTATTTTCGTCACGGTGTCATTCAGGTAGACATCCAAATGCATAGCAAGGGACTTTCTAACAGGGAGATTGCCACTAGACAATTCTTGAAAATCCAAGTCAAATCAACGTTGGGGTAGTCATCAATAAATAGCCCCGACATGAATCATACATGCATTTGAAGTCCCATAAAATGGCAACTGAAGAGCAGCGACTTTGCTCCCAATTCAGACTCTTTGTTTGCAACTCTCTGGGATATTTGGGATGAAATGACAGATAATTATGTCAAAAATTAAACAGAGTTGATGCCCAAAGGGTTCGTTCACTAAACCAAACCAACGGCTCCTAAACAAAATAAGGAGGAGCACATTTATTATTGTTAAGTCAATGTTTTGCGTAGTATTTGTGATTGCTCGGTTGTCCGTTTTGTTTGAAACCATCGTAATAAAATGTAAAGAAATATTATTTATTGCAGACACAAAATTCTCGATTCATTCGATATGCAATGTATGTAATCTTTTCAATATTAGTGCTCCTCAATACACGATCGAAGACAATTTTGCGTTTTCTTGATTTCGCTTAATTCTGTTGAGCCTGATTTTTTAAGGTCAATTTTGAGTGACCATATCTCAGGTGTTTCTAACATGGATTTTTAATATATCGTATGATGCAGAATGTTTTGCTTTAAACTGGTATGCTGCATGAGTGAGTAGTGCAAGACTTTAACACGATTATAATGTGATTACATTTTCAAGTTTCTTTTGGATGTCACTGTAATATGCAATCGAGATTGTCCAAGACGGTCACATAGTGTCTAAGAGAAAAGTGGTGTCTTAGCCACGTGGTGTCTTGGACAGTGTTGATTGCGATATAAAAATACCCCGCAAGAATGGAAAAGGGGGGGGGGGGGGGTGAGTGGGAAGTGCGCTCATATTTTCAGATGATTGTCACGACCAAGTAGCCGTTAGAAGTAGAACAGGTTCAACTCTCTCTCTCTCTCTCTCTCTCTCTCTCTCTCTCTCTCTCTCTCTCTCTCTCTCTCTCTCTCTCTCTCTCTCTCTCTGGAGGTGGAGGTTTCATTGTTTTAGAATAAAAATTAGCAACACAACGGAGCCACCAATTGGCGACGTCCAAAACGTGAGTGCCCTTGGAATCTGCAAATTTACATATATTATTATTTGGGCCTCTCATCAATGTTATTCAGAAAAACATTCACTCAGAAATGTATTCTGAAATAGATATAAAAGGATTTTAGCCTCAAAAGTACCGATAAACATTGCCCAACAGGCGTAAAAATGTCGATTTCTTTGATATAAATTTTAAAACGCATAGAGCTTGGTTTTGTTCAGGAATCTGCGCTAAACAAATGCTATTAATCGTATGAGCAATGATTAGTGTTTCACTATTTTGACGAGCGCTTGATTTCACCACGATTCTACACTCGAAAACACACAAACTGTGAGTGTGTGCGTGTGTATATAGATAGACAGATAGATAGTGTGTGAGAGAGAGAGAAAGAGAGAGGGAAAGAGAGAGTGAAAGAGAGAGAGAGAGAGGGGGAGAGAGAGAGAGAGAGGGGGAGAGAGAGAGAGAGAGAGAGAGAGAGAGAGAGAGAGAGAGAGAGAGAGAGAAAGAGACAGAGAGATAGAGAACTATTACTTCCAACAAAACAAGAGCTTTTCGAAAGGCCACAGTGTTGCTGCATTGGTAAATAAGAGATGAGTTGGAGATGCACAACATTGCATGAGGACAGATTGACGAGCGGGTCAGGCAATGGTGGAGTCATTAGACACACCACACTTCTGGAAATAGCTCACGCCACTGCTGTTTTCAAAACTGCAGTGTATTGTTTTCCAGCAAGGATCAATGGATCTTGCTCAAAACACACCCATGTGGCCATCTTAACAATAGGCAGATCTTCTAAGTTTTTGTTCCTGATTTGGTTTTTCATTCTCAGAGAAAAATTGTTTTTAACAAATATAGCTTTGAGGAAAATGTACTTTTTATTTGTACGATTTAAACTCAAATGACACTTATGATGCACGTGGCAGGAGGCAGTTGTAGATGACGTAACGGCGACCGTACCATCAGTGGGGGGACGGGGCCTGGAGGTCAACTTGCAATTATATCACCGAACATATAGCTCTCGCAATGAGGGTCAGCCATCAAGCGGCAATATCTCTTTCCCTCCCCCCCACCCCACCCCAACCCAGCAAACAAACTACACAGAAAAAACCGAACCAAATCCAACACTTATGCATCCCGTACAAGTTAAATCAATCAACAGGCCGGTTTGGCCTGTATAAAAAATGTGAGAACCTTCTGCAAAATTTCTACAACAGTTATAGTCTCTATGACACGATTTGTGACATGTCCCAAGTAAAAAAAAGAGTTGTGAATTGACAAAATATTTTTCTTTTGGAGCATGGAAATCAATCACTCTTTGTGCTTACAAAAAGAAATCATATGAAACTACGAACTTAAATACATCTGAGATATTTGATGTATGAATGGTAGTTCAAGGGTACAGTTAGACAATCATGTCACAAAGGAAAACAGATAGAAGAGGAAAACGGGGAAGAGGGTAATAGAAATCGGGTTAACGAAAAATTATATTTTGCCTTGTTACAAAGCACTAGTGGAGGATATGTTGAACCGGAGCAATTATGACTCATAATGATCGCAACCAGTGTTGAGTAGTGCAAAAGAGAGGCACGAAAAGGAAATAAACTGGTGCCTAGGAAGCGGAGGAAACGTAATGGAGCAGATCAGATTAGATCTATAACTATGATGCAGGAACATTAGAACCTTTAGAAATGAATAGACCTAGCGTCCGGAAAATAAGGACACAAGATTAAGTGAAAGGGCAAAGAGAATGCATAGTGCAGAGAGTGGAGGTGGGAGTCGGAGCTAGGCGACCGGCACCAGTGTGACTGTCCTCGCCGGTGGCGCAATGCGTGTGGAGCAACTGTGTGAATCACGCGCGTCGACAGCCGTGGTGGAGGTGGCGGATCCATAGAGAATGACTTGATGCTTTTTAACTCGTTGATTGGCCAGGGATTTTCCAGAAGGAGAATAGAAATTACTGGCGGTGAGTGCTGGCTATAACTAGCTTGTGTCTGTGATTCGGTACTTCTAGGTTCGGCGGCTTTATGACGGAGATACCGTTTTTCAAGAAGGTAAGCGTTCATTAGACTACTGTGTTTACTTCAGCGATTTTGTGACTCGGGGACTATGTGACTGTCAAGGGGGCAATGATTGTTATGTTTTGCTGTCAACTTGAAGCCAGTTGCTACTGTTTAGTTTTTAATGTATATTAGTAATTTATGCAGGCAATGATGTTGAGGGAAACTATAAGACTTTTGGCGACTGTCAGAGTGACTGTCATAATTGTTTAGAAGGCCGTATAGCTGCTCGTTTTACAAACGAAGGACATGTACTTGGTTCCATTAAGAAGACTGTGACTAGATCTATGTATTAGCGCCTTTTGTGTATTTGTGAGAGACTAATTAACGGCTTTTAATACACCTTTGAAGCCTTTCTTTTAATGTAGGTGTTTTGACACCCCCGTCTACAAAAGTTAGATTATGATTATCTATGAGTGGACTTCAACCCTGCCTGTCAGGGCTAACCCAGGCCGAATGGGATACACTCTCCCTAGAAGAAAGACTGAGTTCTGATCTCCTGAGTGCGATTGCAAAACATCACAGAGGCTAGTCTTTAGAAGCCTAAATGGTGGGGGTTTTTTTTGGGGGGGGGGGTTCCTTCGACTTTGGTAGTTGTCCAGACTATACGATTTTTGATAATCGGTTAAGAGACTATGATATGCGTATCGTCATTGATTTTATAGCGTTTATTTAATCTAAAGTGAACTGAGTGTAAAAAAAAACCCAACACAAAAAAGTGGAACAGATGAAAACTCAAGTAGTTCAGTTGTTACAACGAAGAATACCAATCTGCAGTGTCAATATACTTTTAATACAGTGTGATAAAAAACCCACAAAAACTAATAAAAATAAATAAACAGCGTTTATGCTGGGCAATTTCCATTTTTTAAAAGAAATGCTCAGTGCACATTACACAAAAAACACATCACATCTTAAAAATTAACCGACATGTGTGTAGGCCAACGTAAAACACAGTATTATGTATGTATATATATTATCTATCTATCTGTCTATCTATCTACCTATCTATCTATCTATCTATCTATCTATCTATCTATCTATCTATCTATCTATCTATCTATCTATCTATCTATCCATCCATCCACCCATCCATCCATCCATCCATCCATCCATCCATCCATCCATCCATCCATCCATCCATCCATCCATCCATCCATCCATCCATCCATCCATCCATCCATCTATCTATCTATCTATCTATCTATCTATCTATCTATCTATCTATCTATCTATCTATCTATCTATCTATCTATCTATCTATCTATCTATCTATCTATCTATCTATCTATCTATCAATCAATCAATCTATCTATCTGTAGGCCCATAGAAACATACTAAGAGAAAAACAGTGAAACTTGAATAATTAGAAATATTCATTCAAACATTCGTTCTTTATAAAATATAAGAAAAACATTTTCGTTCTCTCTCTCTCTTTCTCTCTTTCTCCCCCCCCCCTCTCTCTCTCTCTCTCTCTCTCTCTCTCTCTCTCTCTCTCTCTCTCTCTCTCTCCACTTTTTTTCTGAATATCTTGCACAAAATTGATCTAGAATGTTGTAAGTTGGAATAGAAGTTATTTATTCAAAAGGAATTTGTTTAACATAAAATTCATAAAGATAAACTTATTTTTGAAAAAGAAAACAACTTCAAGAAAAGCACCCATAAACGCAAAATACACGAATGAAAAATCTTTCAAGTGAAGTCATAAACTGAATGGGTTGCTTTTTTTCCTCCTTTACTTTTTTAACATTGAAATTTAATTTTTCCATCGCTGCAACATTTAAACGATAATTAATTTCTCTTATAGAATTAAAAAGCTAACATTGTTATTCTAGAATTCTTAAAGCTTGTGCTCGACATGTAACGTCCTCCGTTCGATTCGAAACATTTCTTGACCGCGTCGTTCGTGGTGTCCAAACATAAGGACCCGCCAGATCATGAATGTTTAAAACCTCACACACTGTAAACTTTTCATTTCAAAGTGTCTTCTAGACATGATAGGGGGTGGTGTGCCCAATAGACAACATTGTTGAGTTTACATATCCTGAAAGATGAAAATGGGCTCAGCTAATTGTATTTGAGAAACACTCACGCTTGTCAAGACGACCGAGGAACCATGAACACAGTGCCATGCTCTGATCTATGTGAACCTCACGAACATAAAAATGATACTGTCATAGGTGAAGATATACCTACAGAAAGTCGATTGTTGAAGTGTAGGAGAATCACTAGCCGCTCACATCGTCAAAGGAAAGATGTCTCATGCCACTCGACTACTGAATTCTGTATTCTGGTGACATTTAAAGGGGTGCTAACAGTGCGTGATCTACCTGTAATACTCGTTTTGTCTTGGAATTTTAAATTCTGATTCTCTATAGATTCAAACTGGCGGTACATCTCTATCCGCGACATTAAAGAAGGCCTTGAGGGCACTTTGATTTTCTTTCCGTACCTTGTGTGAAACTTACGAAATGTCGGGGATGATGAGTTTTAGGTGAAGCAATGCTCAACACAAAAAGGCTCTCTGCTCTTTGTTAAACTCAACTATGATCTCAACAGACAAAGAAAACTTGAAAAAACCCAGACAACATCTGCAAACTGCTGTAGCTTGCAACATAGCGCGATCATTGTGACTTTAAGCGGCAGGTCTTATGCGAACTGTATCATGTCCAAATATGGGGACACGGCAAAGAGTGGGTTGTTTTCTTTTGCGCTATTCAGTGAAAGACTATACTAGAGAGAGGGAGAGAGAGAGAGAGAGAGAGAGAGAGAGAGAGAGAGAGAGAGAGAGAGAGAGAGAGGGGAGAGAGAGAGAGAGAGAGAGAGAGAGAGAGAGATAGATAGAGAGAGAGAGAGAGAGGGGGGTACGGAAAAAGATGAAAAAATAGACTTATACATAGACAGAATGAGAGATAGAGAAAGGATAATAGAAAGAAAGAGAGAAAGCTTTTTTTTTGTTTTTGTTTTAGTAGAGGTTTTACAGCGCTCGCAACTGCATAAGGTCATATGAGTGCCAAGGGGTGGATGTCAACAGAGAAATCCTTGACAGGTAATCACACTTACTCTGCTCATCTCTCTAGCTTCAACAGCACACAGCTTCCACTTCGACTATCAAGGCACCCTGGAAATAGCGGGTCACAAGAGTATGACACATATACAAAAGAAGTAGAGGTAAATGACGACAGTAAGGATTAAGAAAGAAAAAGCAGCAGTTCCCTGCTGTAGTTCAGGCACATTTATGAGCATGACATTGTTGGATCAGCCCATTTACAATTGTACTGTGCATTAGAACGAGAAATGTTCCTCCTTTGGGAATGGCCTAAAGACACTTTAGTTAGTGGCACCGCCCCAGAAGATTAGGGAGAAAGTGGGAGCGAGAAAGAAAGAGAGGGAGACAGAAATAAAGTGGCGGAAAGATAGCGGCAGAGCGAGCGAGCGAGCGAGAGAGAGAGAGAGAGAGAGAGAGAGAGAGAGAGAGAGAGAGAGAGAGAGCATAATATTGTGCTATCATGTCAAATGCAAACTGCCAAATCTTCTGAGTCAAAGAACCTGTTAAAATTCTGATTTCTGTTTCCTTGCATGTGAAAAACAGATTCTCCAAAATATCACTGTTCTCTTTTACCCTTACACTCTTGAAATATCCCCTCTCCCTTTCACAGTACACTACTGTCAGGTAGAAAGTTTCCCGGTCTGATGCTTATCTTATTCGTGGACTGTCTCTTCAAGGGGATTTTAACCGGCACCTGTGGTGCATGGGTTAGGCGTTTTACCGTCGGACGCAGACGACTTGAGTTCGATTTCATTGTGGTGAGAATTTGTATTGAGCATCTTGGACTGTCTGCTGTGGCGTTGTATTCCCCTCATCCCGGGTTGGTCCTTACAGGAAAGGCTAAAACCCACCTCCTAAATAAAAAAATGAGCTTAAAAAAATTTCAAGTGCTTTTCTTGACATTGTTTACCCAGTGCATCCAGCACCAAATGGGTAGAAAAGGACCAATGTGACTGATGGCGGCATGAACCTTAATGGACATGACCCTGTTGAGTATCATTATGACCCGCAAGGGAGGGCCATTGGAACATTATACTCAGCCGCCTGAGGGCCACACCGCTAGCCCAGTGGGTATCATGGTGGGCTGCTAAGCAGATAGCCCTGTTTCGAATCCCCAAAGGATTTTTCTGAGCATTGGTTGTGTTTAAGAGTTGCAGGACTCTCCACACACTTGGCTAGGCCCTGTCGGAGGTGGAACTTAAGTTGGGAGATCCAGCTTCTTAAGTAACCCCACAGTGTTGAAATGGGCATTGAATCTGTACAATGTCCAATGATCTGCCGCCTAGAAAAGAGGTTTGTGGTACGTCTACGGTCTTTGAAAGTACTAATGAACTCGGTAAGGCAAACTACACGTAGGCCTCATACCGAGTCAAATAGATATAGGCCGGAGGAATTTTTACAGCCATTTTTAAGATTATATTTTTTAAAATGTAGGTGGTCTTTACGCCCCCATTGTTTAGTATATTTAAGGATGGTAAAATCTAACACCTAGCCTTCTTGGATAGAGGTGAAATATCTCCGAGGTCCTGTGTGCAAGCTGCGCTCCTTAAAGATCCCTTGGTGGTCCTAAAATCGATTAGAATAGGCTTCCGCCGTCACCCAGGCAAAATTCAAAGTTAATTCCTACCAAACTGAAAATGTTTAATGCTCCTAAGGTGGTCACATGGCCTTATGCAGTTGCGAGCACCGTAAAACACTTACCAAACTTAGCAACATCAAATAGAGCAAACATGCCCATCTTTTTAATATCATGTGTCATCACTTCGAATGTGATACACCATAAATTGGTGTATTTCGTCGACATGGCTTGATCAATTTATTGTAAAATCAGAGGGTACCTTTCTGCCCCCTCCCCCCTCCCAGCCCAAACCAATGTAAGTCGGCCAAAATCAGAAAACATAATTTCTTGGCGATCTCCTATACCCATTAAAAATTAAGAAGACAACCAGCTGTATGAAATTCCAATAACGTCAAAGATTTGTGACATGCATACGTGGTGCAAGCAGCAGTACAAACCAGCGAATGTATTTTCATTGATGAAATAGACAAACACATGTGGATCAACGACCCGTGGACAATCTCGCTGATGGAACGTGCAAATCGTCCAAGGCCGACATGGAACAATATATCTTAAAATGACATTCGCTGTGGGTAATGTTCGCGGCCTCTTAATCACGAGCTTTGCGGAGGAGAAATGACAGGTGACTGATTAAACCCATACGGTGTACATTATTTCGTTCCTATGTCAGATAGGGTGATTTATGAGAAGGAATTTAAAAAATATGACGGCGTCCAATATGACAGGGTTGTTAAGGCTTTAACACTCCCCTCCCGCCTTTTGTTTTTTTGTTTTGTTGAAAAACACGTTCACACAGCATTACATGAAATCAAAAACAAACATCAAGTAATTATGATTTAGAAAATTCACGACAATATTTTGTAAAATAAAGGCTGAACTTACCTCCCACAGTCCAAACGTCAGAAAAATATTGAAGATAAAATACCGCCGTCCTGTTCAGCAATGTTACCCCAACGGCACGAGCACAAACTTCTTAAGTGGTCCAGTTAGAGAATTACAGTGGGTGTCGCTTTCATCGAGGTCACATTCAACGAAAACTCGGCTCCAACGAGGTAATCCTTAATCCCCGATTTTTTCCTCTATATCTCTTTGTAAATGTACGTCAGCTCCAAAGAGGTTGCAAACAGACCAAAGTCGCTTTCAACGAGGTTGCGATAACCAAATTAAAGCAATTAACCGCCCCAAAAGCCAATAATTTTTCTCATTTCTCTCCATCTCACGCGAAGCACAAGGCCCATCCTCGATTCATAGTAGATTGTATTGCTAGATCTAGTGGGCCCCCTAATATGGGCCCCAGAGCCAAGAGGATGGGTGAGGGTTTGCCTACGACAGGGATGGGAGGGGGTGGGTGGTAACGCGATGCGGGCTATGTGAAACTGGATGAACTCTGGATGGGTAGGTCTAGATCGAGACTTTCATTTTTTTTCAATTTTCTTTTCTTCCCCTGATCAGAAAATCCAAGCTCACACCTTTACTTTATGTAGATCTAGAATTCTAGGCCTAGACGTGAGAGGGTATGCTTCCACACGGGGAGTGTCCCGGAAAAAATATTACAAAATGGAGAAATGACGGTCAGAACACAGCTCTAACACGCGTACACTGATGCAGTTTGAGATTTCCGCCATCAAGGGAACAACTGTTTTAATTACATGTACTGGTATTGGTACATCGTGTAATGTAATAGTTTGTCGCTTTTCTTTACTTTAGCCTTAGTCACGTTCAACGAGAGGTCGGATCCAACGAGGACAACACGCCGGTCCCGGCAACCTCGTTGAATGCGACACTCAGTGTATTTTTTCTGTATGTCGAACAGTCACATCGCATACATGTAATTTATTGGGGTTTTTTTCTCCTTCTTTAAAGCTGCTGTTAAAAAAACAAACAACAACAACATAATAGGAATACCTTAACATGGCTTTGACGATTTTCTTCAGTGCGTTACCGTCCACAGTCTTTTATAGTTGTCTCACGATCTGCTTCGTGAAATTAGACAACGATTACGTAACTCAAGCAAACTGGTTTTCCCAAAATAGGCAACAACTCCGTAGGTGTGTAAGGAAATATGCCTGTAGAGCCGGGAGAATGCTTCTAATAGGAAACGATGGCAACCTTTGCAACCGTTTGGTACGGTTATTCTTTGGAACCTTGTTTGACCGCGCCAAAGTTCCATCGACTGTGCTATCTTCGCTCCACCTCGAGTATTACCTAAGATTCCCTACTTTCAAGGTACTACAATCCTTCTTTGGGCTTTCGCTGTGAGTATTCTCACCCGAGGTGAGAAAAGTCCACAAATTCTTCTCATCCAGTTTTTACATTTCCGCCCTTTTTAGATCTAGATCTATTTCGTTGAGGTTTTGAGTTTTTGTATAGTCCTCTAACAACTTCTATTGCAATGTCTTGGTAGTAGAGACTCTTTGGTAATACTAAACTACATCTACATCTAGGCCTAGATTTTTAGATATTATAGACACTGAATGGGATTTTTAAAATAAAAGACGTATAGACCTATCAGGAAGTGTAGTCTATACAGTCTACGCCATAAGTAGTACAACAACCAGATCTAGATCTAGATCTAGAATCTAGATCTAATCTAGATAGATCCTATTCTAGATCAACAAACCTGTCGACATAAATTATACATTCGCCTTAAATAAAACGTGTTTCGCTCTAGATTCTTCCACAACACCCATTAACTTAACAGTTACTAGATTTATGTATCAGTAGGATCTAGATCTAGACCTAGGTCTTGACCTGCGATGTAAGAACTATTGCAATATAGATCTAGTTTAGATCTACACTCCGCCAATTCTACTGGATCAACAAACCTTTCGACATTCGCCTTTCACAAAAAGCAGTGGGTGACTACCATACTCATTAATATTTCAAGCCGAACATCATAGCTGCCAAAAACACCAACAGTCAAATTTACATTATGTTGTTAATTTGTCATGGGAGGAAATTTAAATGTTGTTGATGTCCAATGATGGCTTGTTGACCTCGGTCCAAAGGTCAAAAGTTGTTTCTTTGCAGTGTCACAGAGCCAAGATTAGCGCTAGGGGACTGCACAGTCCCCGAGTGGGTACAGTCCCCTTAACAACTTCCTATACTTAACTCCCACCTTTTTGTTTCTATCTATATCTCCGTCTATATGTAGCCGTGCAGTCCCGGCATTGAAAAGAATAGGACTGACATGGTGCTAGCGTGTCGTAGGAGGCAACTAAATGGCGAAACCAGGCATCATTGATACATCAGTGGAAATTCTCTACGCTGTATTCGAAAAGGTTTGACAAGAAGTGGAAATACTATCAGACTGGAAGGAAGGCCACCTTATCAAGCTGCCAAAGAAAGGAGACTTCAGCAATTGTAACAACTACAGAGGCATAACACTCCTGTCCATACCTGGGAAAGTCTTTAACAGGATAACTCCTAGAGAGAATCAGGCTGGCAACAGATGAGAAGCTAAGAGGAAACCAGGCAGGATTCTGCAAGAACCGATCATGTGTGGACCAGATCGCTACCCTGCGCATCATTATTGAGCAATCGCTTGAATGGAATTCACCACTAGTGGTCAACTTTATTGACTATGAAAAGGCATTTGACAGCGTGGACAGGGAAATTCTGTGGAAACTCATGCGGCATTATGGAATACCTGAGAAAATCGTCAAACTTGTGAAGACAACCTATGATGGAACAAACTGCCAAGTCTTCCACAAAGGACAACTCTCAGAACCATTCCAGGTACAGACAGGAGTGCGACAAGGATGCCTGCTCTCACCTTTTCTCCTCATACTTGCAATTGACTGGATCATGAAGGAAGCCACCAGAGGCAAGCGAAATGGAATACAGTGGATCCCTTGCCAGCAGCTGGACGACTTGGACTTCGCCGATGACCTTGCACTGCTCTCTCACACACATGCTCAGATGCAAGAAAAGACCAAGGAACTCAACGGCCTATCAAGTAGTGTTGGCCTACGTATACACCCGGGCAAGTCGAAAGTAGTGAAGCTAGGAAAAGTGTCAAGCCCTGCTGTGATAGTGGAAGACAATCCCCTAGAAGAAGTGGACTCCTTTACCTACCTTGGAAGTGTCATCGATGGTAAAAGTGGAACTAAGGCAAATGTAAAAGCAAGAACCGCCAAGGCAAGGTCAGCCTTCAAGCAATTATAAAAAATCTGGAAAGCAAGCGACATCTCACTGCACACCAAGATTCGACTCTTTAATTCCAATGTCAAGTCTGTGCTCCTCTACGGCTGCGAAACTTGGAAGACAACAAAGACAGTGCTGAATAAAGTCCAGACTTTCATCAACAGATGTATGAGGAGTATCTTAAGAATTAAGTGGCAGGATAAAATAAGAAACGAAGAGCTATGGGATATGGGAAAGGACAGGACAAAAGGATATAGAAGTAGAAATAGGACTAAGAAAGTGGCGTTGGATGGGACACACCTTCAGAAAGCCCAGCGGAAACATCACAAGACAGTCACTTCAATGGAACTCACAGGGAGCACGAAGTAGGGGTAGGGCACGAGAGAAATGGAGGAGACGTGGGGAAAGGGACATGAAAGAGATGAAGCTCACTTGGAACGAGCTAGGAAGGATGGTCCAGGATAGAGATAAATGGAAGGAGCTTGTATATGGCCTATACCCTGCCAGGGGTGATAGGCATTCATGATGATATCTCCGTCTGTCTGCAGAGATGTATTCCCTACAGCCCGGGTTGGCTCTTATAGCCGAAGTCGAAGAAACTGGTCTATAAAACTTTGTACGGAGAGATGTCTAATACATTTACAACGCATAACTTGCAACCTATTGAAAGAGAAAAAGTGTTCCTCTCATTAATCTGCTGTGTCACGCATTTTGAAATAATAATTCTGATTATTTTCCACAGGGCCAGTTCTAAACCCATGTCGTGTAGTGCTTACCGCCCAGGGATGACATCATCAATGACGTCGAGATCTGTGATGCTTTTGCTGATCTCTGCACTAGGTAAGATGAGAATGCGCAATGTCTTGAATATAGTGCTAAAATCACACTAGTTTTACTTTTTTAAAACGTATCAGGTTTTGTTGATGTTGATGATGCTATTGCTGATGTACCTGCTGCTGTTTCTGCCTTTGATGCTGGTGTTGTTGCTGGATGTCTATCTCTGTCTGTCTGTGTGTCTGTGTGCCTGTCTGTGTGTCTGTCTGTCTGTCTGTCTGTCTGTCTGTCTGTCTGTCTGTCTGTCTGTCTGTCTAATAATTGGAAAATGCAACTTAAACTCAAGCAGGACATATCAGTAACAGGTTAAACAGTCTTCATGTAAGTAATCCCTCATCTACATTCCCTAGAAGGAATGATTAGTGACAATTGTTCATCGCTGTAAGGTAAAATTAAAGGAGGAGAAATACATCTTTTCTCACATCAGCGCCATGTCCAGAATAGATTAGACATTGGCCGTTTTATTAGGTGTATGAGTTAACGTGTATAAGTTTGAGTTTATGACATATATGCTTAGGGTGATATAATACAAGTGACAGGAAAAGACGAGTCTATTTTATTGTTTGCACATGCGGGCTAACAGGTCAGGAGCAGAGGTGTTTTACAGTGGGTTGGAGTCCATGGAATTTATGCTGTCGTGTTTGCTATCACCATCATCATAGAAATTAATCACAATTACGTTGCCATTGTCTAAACCGTCATTAACATTCCATTCACGCCTACATATAACTGACAACTGATGTAAGCTGTAAGAAATGAATCCGTCCTTTTACGTGTTAATCAGAACACAATACGCGACGTCCTTTCTATCTGTGATCAGTTTCTTCCTGACTTCAGGGGCCTCTCCTCTGACATTGTCGAGAGTTATTCAGATGTTCCGGAAGCATGGTGACGCTGCCTGTCCTCGCCTCGTTCGCACAAACGAGCACTGCTAAAGAAAAGACATGTCACTGGAGACGGGGATCTCATGGCGCCGAGGATATCTAGTATCGAGGAACGGGAGGCATAGGCTTCTACTTGCCGTCATTTTTGTTTACAATAAAATGCTTTGTCTGTCGACGAAAGAGCTGGAATTCCGGAAACTGTCATGAAGCTTTTCGAATTTCACCCCATGTCCAGCGAATTATCCACTTTAATCAGTCTTACTCAGGTTTTAATTAGTCAGCGGTCACCTCTAACCATGTTTGTAAAAAGATAAATTCAAGCTTTCAGTTGCGGACAATGAATGACATATTACTCTTCGAAACTAATTTTAAAGATATTTCAGAGCCTTTGTGGGTGGATGGTGGGTGCTCTGATGTGATATGCTCCTTCTTTCCTAAGAAATATCTGTCGTGGGCCCTTGTGCATCTCATCCAATAGGTCCCAGATTCGAATTCAGATAGCAACGGAAAATTTTCTTCTCTAAAATTTTCTCTTTTCCCATCCTTTCCTGCTCTCTAACAATGTTATGTCGTCTACTTTCTGCCTCCACCCGGTCACCCCCTTTACCCCCTCGTCTGGGCTCTTGACTCTTTCTGCAGCCTTTCTACTGCTACTCCTTGGATCCTTCTTATAGTTGTCTTTCAGCCACACCCCTCTTATGGTAGGTAAGATCCAACACCTTGTCTTCTCGGATAAGGGTGAAAAATATCGGAGGTCCCGTGTGCAAGTTGCGCACGATAAATATCCCTCAGTGGTCCAAAAACCAATAAGAGTAGGCTTCGGCCCCCACCAGGTCAAAATTCAACATTTCCTGTCAACTGAAAATGTTTAGTGTGTCCTGCGAGGGCCGTAAAACACTTACCACTCCAAAAAGACCCAACAACAAACAAATAAAGAAACAAAAATAAACAAAAACAAAACACAAACAAAAACACCCCCGCCACCCCCCCCCCAACAGGAAACAAAACTAAAAAAACAACAACAAACAAACAAAAACATCTGTCGCCCCTATCTCTCCTCCATTTTAGTGTTTGTTACTGTCTTGTAACACCTCTAATCTTCGTCACTTATATGACCTAACTGTGTTGCAAGTACCGCAAAACACTTACTAAATACACCAGTCCTGTATCTCAGAAGAATCAGTAAGACAATGCACCTTATTTCAACTGACATTGTATGCACGCTGGCTTTCTCTTTTGTGCTCACCGCTACCAAAATCATTATTAATTCTTAAAGGACGGAATAGTACCAGATAACTTGATATATGCCATATTAAAACCATTTTTGAGAAAAAAATAATCTCATGATCAAAACAGGCTGAAAAACTATAGACCAGTGCCGAACCTTCTTTCCATATCTAAAATTCTCGGAAAAGTAGTCTTACAGCCTATTGCCCTTTCAAAGTTCAACAATCTTTTCTGTCAGCACATTAAAAAAAAACACTGTGAAAAGTAAGCTGGGAATGATATCTTTCTTGGAATTAGACCGTAGCAAAGTTGTAAGGCTTTATCTATTAGATCTGTCAGCAGCTTTGACAACATTGTTCACGGAATTTTACCAAAAAGACTAGAAATCACATTTGGCATTCATGATTCTGCTCTCATTTGTTCAACCACTATCTGTCCAATGACAGCCAATCTGTTGCAATTAAAGGCATCAAGTAACAAAAGGGCATTCTTAAGTTTGGTGTTCCCCAAGGTTCGGTTTTAGACCCAGAACCTTTTACAAACATACGCAACTACTTGCTGTCAAAACACAAAAAGTATCAACTCAGCTACCACATCTAAACTGAAAACACACCGATAAAATATGGCTTTTTTAAAATCCCGGCAATGCCAATGAATTGAAAGAGCGAGTAGAGAAATGATGGTAAAAAAGGATGTGTGAAATAAAATTATATATATATAATATATAATTATATATATATATATATATATATATATATATATATATATATATATATATATATATATATGAACAAACCCAAACAACCCAGACACCATCTTATTTTGAAGTTTAAAAAATCTAATGATGTAAATAGAAGCCATTCAGAAAGCGAATATACAAGTATATTCTTTTACATTGGTGTATATTTACATGTAGCCACATCCTTGAATAACCTAGTAAAGAATGACATTCGATGTTTGTACCTTAATCTCGGAAGAACCAGTAAGATAAGAAACTGGATGTGAGCTGATAGGGCATGTATGCACATTGTCTCTCTTATTAAACTCTGCCCCCTCCCCCTGTGCCAAATGTACTAGATCCTCTCCTCTTGTCAAACCCTGACGATTGCAATTCAGTTGTGCTTGATATCTCATGTGAGATATTGGGAAATTTTGAATGGGCAAAAATAACACCGCAAGACTAGTATTGAAGAAACAGAAAAAAACCCGTATAATAAATTGTACAAGTTCTGCACTTACCTTCCAGTTGAATAAAGAATCCAATGAGAAATTTCCACCATCAGCGATAAATGCCTTAAAATAATGTTTTATCATATCTGCCTCGGCTTTTAACACCCCATGTTCCATACCCTAAGTTACTGTTATCCATCTACGCATGGAAATTCAGAGCCCTTAGAATGTAATTAAAATAAAATAATATTTTTTCTCTAAAATTTAAAACTCCTTGGCCCAGGAACTCTGGGAAACAACAAATTTCTATACGTTTAAGTCACTGCGTAAGCCTCATTTATTTAAGTCTTAGTTGGAGTGTTCTATCAGGTATTTACGTTTTTCGTTTTTACTACTGACCTTATAGGAATTTAGTTTATGTATAACTGAGAAAGATCTTCCTTATATCGCTGGATTGGTTTTCTCGTTGCATGAAATGTTTTTTCTTGTTTATGTGAGTTTTTATCGAGTGTAAAAAAGAGGAACTACATTGTATTTAAAGGGCAATAACTTGGTCATCGTTGAAGTAATTTCAACATAACTTCGAACAAATAAAACTCAGCCAGGAGGACATCACGTTTGTCGATATAAAATAAACGAGAATTGAGTAAAATGTAACTTCTTAAAACTTCACCACGTTATATTTCAAATAGCACTCTGCGTACATTGAAGACCAAATTTTTGCAAAACTGCTATCGCTGAATACACTTTGTCACTGTGGATAAGGTGGCTATTTTAAATCGAATTCCCCTGGTGTTGATTATTTCTCTCCACACAAGCTCCAATACGCCACTGGAAATTTTATATCATAATCAACGTCATGGCAAGCTAACGGGTCGATTCTTTGAACCTACTTTTTTACATTAAGTTTCAGTTTCAGGTGCTCGAGTGTTTGTGGGCTGTGTCCAGAGACTCTGTCTGTTAGGTAGAAAAAAGTTAAATAAAAACCCCCCAGCAAACAAACGTGAAAGGAAATAAATGAAGTGTTCAAATAGGGGAAAACGGCGACCTTTCATTTAGAAGTTTTGAACATGAAAGGAATTTTCCAAACCTTTCTTGCAGCCATACAAAGGCCAATCTTGACGTGTGGGGCGCGGCTCCATCTTACTGTAACCAGGCTTTGTCACCAGCATAACACTTTCTCCTCCTCAATCGTCTCCTTAACGTCTTCCTTAGCAGGGTCTTGTATCCATCTGATGTGACTGTCGTGGTTTTACAACATTCGTCCTTAAACCAGAACAGGCAGTTCATGTCCCCGTAGCTCTCGCTTTTAAGAAGTAAAGTTTTGCGTTTTACCCAACTTCGGTTGAAATTTGTTAAACTTGATTTTGTTCGAACACGTGAATTGGTTTCTTTATATTTACAGGCTTGATGTCCTCAAGGTGAATTTTATTTGATCAAAGAATTGTCGAAATTAATGCAGAGATGACCGAGTTCTTGCCCATTACATGGGTCCTTCTTTAGACTCTCTCTACTCTCAGTAATCATGCTATCGGAGCACAGTGCTCAGAGCTTATGATATATTATACTGGCGATCAAAAGAAATGTACCACTTTTTGACCTCGTCAAAATCTCGACTTTACGTTTTTCCCTTCACGCGAATAATCCTAATTAGTCCAAAAAGTACAAAACGTAAATGCTGTTATAAGAATAACATGTTTGTGCTTCAATTAGTGTTCACAGCACCAACACTAGGACATAGAAAATTAGCATGTTTTCCGACCACGTGACGGATTTTTTCTATTCCTTGGTTTTTAATAAAGTTTATAAATAACCGCAATAACATTTGATAAGACTAGGTCGCTATCTTAAAATTACAATTTTCTATTTGCTCACTAGATCTACCAAGTTTTGAGAAATTTGACGTAAAACATTTTAAGTTCCATATTTCAAGCTCTTTCGAATGCAATTCTTTGAACATCTTTTAACTTTTCGGAATAATCCAATGCTTTTGATAGAGCAGTTAGAACATTTGATTTCTGACCTCATGGCCTTAGTATCTCAAAGGATTAAACCTGTCAGGTAGAACAATGCAATTCTAACGTAGCGCATTGTCACCCAACAAAGATTGTAGGTTTAACTAAAACGTCAGATAAATAGAGCCATCGGCGAGCTCTGCGTATTTTTGCTATTACCAAGACAGCAAACGTCAGTTCTCTTTTAATTTTGAATGTCCTGGCAACAGCAGGAACGCGAGGAGCATACTGATGGTCTGATTTATCTGATTTTGAGTTAAACCTACCATCTTTCTTAGGTAAGAGTGATCAAATGTTATTTAGGTTTTTGATAGATAAAGACCTACACTTCATTAAAAAACAAAGAATGGAACATATCCGCATCGTGGTCAGGTCAAAATGCCAATTTTATATTTTTCTGGTGTTGGTGCTGTGTACTCTAATTGAAGCGCCAAAATATTATTTTTATAGCATGTCCTACTTTTGAGAATACTTGAAAGAAAAAGCATGACTACTCAAAACTCTAGATTTTTACGAAGTAAAAAATTGGTACCTTTCTTTTGATCGCCAGTGTATTATTTATATGGGTTGGAGCGCTAAATAAATGCAATCTATTTTGCTACATCTGCCTCTTACTATTATGATTAATCTGTTTCAGCACACATCAGCATTGGAGGCATTTACATACCACGTCGACAATACAACTTCTTTATCCCACCGGTGGCGGACACTCCCGATCTGACCATCAAAATCCCCGTCCTGGAGAACTCGGCTGTCCAGTGTGAACCTCGACAGGCCAACTTCTTGACCACTCTGTCCGACTTCGTGGACACCGCTTACGAAAATAATGCGATCGTTCTTCGATTCATTGGCAATGTCAACGCATCTATCTCCGATGGTGAGATTTTCTGTTTAATTTGTCTTTAAACGAATGGGATGCTGCGGGTAGATAAATGTCAAGTTATGTGATTCTGTGATAATTAGAAGAACAAAAGGAAAAGCTATATTTTTCTTGTTTTGTCTTCATGATTCTCTATCCCTTATAGCGTGACCCGTCCGCACAGGTTGTTGAGCTAAAAGAAGCACGCTATTACAAGAACATGTTCTCAAATGAGAGTATACCATTATACATGAGGATATAAAATCATAGTTTTAGCCCAGAGGGCGGTGCTACTGACTAAAGTGTCTTTAGGCCATTCCCAAAGGGGGGACATTAACATGTTCTTATGCACAGTAGCATTGTAAATGGGCTGAGTCATCAATGTCATGCTCATAACTGTGCCAGAACTGCAATAGGGAACTGCTGCTTTTTTTTCCAAATCCCTACTATCTTCATTTTTCCCTCTACCTTTTTTGTATGTTTGTCACACTCTTGTGACCCGCTATTTCCGGGTGCCTTGATAGTCGAATCAAACTTTGTGCTGTTGAAGATAGAGAAGTGAGCAGAGTGAGCGTGGTTCCCTGTAAGAACTTTTCTGTTGACATCCACCCCTTGGCGCTCATATGACCTTATGCAGTTGCGAGCGCCGTAAAACATCTACTAAAGTTAAAAACTAAAAAGAAACAATGACAAAAACTGCTTAAAACGTTACATGACCCCAAAGCTAAAAAGGTCCCAAAGATAGAACTTATTTAACACTTCATATTACACCAAGCACAACAATCACAGTAGAACGGTACATCCTGCTTTCTTTGTATGCGTATCGGGGCTTCATCCACGGTTTCATTTCCTACTTAGGCTGAGGAAAGTCTGGTTTTGTTTACCACTCCACTCTCTGACGAATTGTTTTGAAAGTCAGTATAATACTCTCTCTCTCTCTCTCTCTCTCTCTCTCTCTCTCTCTCTCTCTCTCTCTCTCTCACACACACACACACACACAGACACACACACTCACACACACGCGCACACACACACACACACACACACACACACACACACACACACACACACACACACACACACACACACTCACACTCAGACGCCCACACAAGTCGATATAATACACTGTGTGTATATATGTGTGTGTGTGTGTGTGTGTGTGTGTGTGTGTGTGTGAGTGTGTGTTTGTGTGTATCTGTGTGTGTGTGAGTGTGTGTATGTGTGTGTGTGTGTGTGTGTGTGTGTGTGTGTGTGTGTGTGTGTGCGCGCGCGCGCGCGCGTCTGTGTGTGTGTGTGTGTATAATATATATGTGCGCGGGTAGGTGTGTGTATGGGTGGGTGTGCGATAGAAAGGGAAAAACGTAACTGTATCGTGTAGTCTTCTAACTTGCCCGTTCCCGTTTTTAAAAATTTCAAACAGAACCTGTCACGTTTGACGTGACGATCACATGTGACGCCGACACAGAGAGCAAGAGTCACAACTACTACCGACAGTTCCTCACTACTTCTGTTACCATCGTGATTCAAGCCACTCCCACAGAGCTGCCTCCTGATTTTCACCGAGACACCGTGAGCGGGCAACTCTTCAATGCGAATGTGACAAAACAGTTGTGTTTCGGTGGAGATCTCTTGGCTTACAATGTGACAGAAAATGACAAGAATGTTCGACTTGACGTAATATCCGGTTACAGGAAGTTGATCATGCCGGAAGGACTGGAGGCTACATTAATCCCTAAGCAAGGTCAGTGAATCAGCGTCAACCGTTTGGATCTTGTCTATCAAGCTATGTGAGTGTCTGGCTTGGTTGTAATTCTAACTGACAATCTTTCTGTTCACCTCGTCTTCCCTTTGACTAGCATTCTACCCTATTAGGCGTATTTTAATGTAGACGTTTTTACTCTCCCTATCGACACCTGCCTGTCTGGGCCAACCCGGGCTGAGAAGGATACAAAGTTCCAGCAGAATAACCGAGATACTTGATACAAATTCTTCCATCTCGAGAATCGAAGTCGGGTCCACCTATTGTGACCTCGTCTTCCGCCTGATAAGCCCTCCATCCCGTCCTTATAGAAACAGAATATAGAACTGCATCTCTTGGTTTTTGTGTTCTCATGCCTGTAAAAACTCATGCCTGTAAAGATGTTTAGAAGTCTGTATATTCTCTCCTCAGTGCACACAGTGCTTGTCAATAATCGTAGGAAATATGTTTACCCCCCCCCAGTTGTTCCCATTTGTTTTATGTTTTTTCAGACTTTTTTAAACTGGTGCCAGCATCATCCTCTTTGCCTTCCTTTAAATACTTAGGGCGACCCAACATACATTCTGTTGTGATCAAAATATTGTATCCTGGATGGAAGCATTTATTATCCAGACAACATTTTTTTTCTTTTTCCAAAATATCAATTGTCACTTAGCAAAGTCTTTAAAACTTGACAGCTTTTCTTTTTTTTTCCATATCGGTCAGCTTCTTTCACCTTGTTAAAGTGTACAATTCTCGTGTATGGATATCTGAAAAACACGTTCTCATACTGCAAACGCATAATTAGGCCAAAAAACAATATCAGGAGAAGAAGATTCTAGCACACAGAAGTGATCAGATCAACCCCCCACCCCCAAAAGAAAAAAAATGTTTTGAGAAATCAATTTACAAAAGCAGGAAACTGATCAAATTTTGACACCTTTGTTTAATTAAACGTAAAGTTGTTTTTCCCGCATCCGATCAGGACATTGGGGATTGCCTTGTTAGTAAGACAACTTCCTGGGCCTTGGGCATAATGTTGTGGTTAGGGTGGCCAGTTCCTTTCCATGCCGCCTTTACTTCCCCAACTCGAAGTCAGATACCCATTTTTTGTGGGTGGGCAGAAGGAGTCGAAAAAAAACAACGTGTCCGAACTGAGGCTCGAACCCAGACTTTCCACATCGGAGACGAGCACACTAACCGCTCAGCCACCGCACCCTGAGCTTACTATTTTAAAATTAAGGCAGTGTAAACACCTCAGGCGCAGCCAAACAAATAACTTCACCTCGAGCTCCCAAATCTGAGTGTTTTATCAATATTGGGGCTGCTGTTAGTAGTCAGAGCTTCGCCTTCCCCTCTCTTCCACCCTCACACACACGCCCGCCCGCGCACAAAATCTTCCCTTATTCTTCCAGGAAGGGACTAATGGGATCTTTAGTGATGAAAAATGAGCTCCCCGGGTTGTGTTCACGTGCATTCATGCGATCTAACAGAACTTGTCATTGGCTTAGCAATGACACGCGACGGGACACATATTTTATGGTATCTGGATGCAGCCCCCCCCCCCCCCCCCCCAAACCAAGGAAAAAGTAAAGTAATAGCACGAAGACTGAAAAATACCAAAGAGATTATGTATACTCGAAGAGTAAGAGCTCGTGACAGTGACGCCACCCACGTAAACAAACAGGGCTGCATGTGCCCACTCTCGATGGGACGATGAGCTTTGGGGCCACGAACGACAGAGAGTACTTTTTGATAGAAGCGCGTGGATGCACAAGGGCGGTCTTGGGAGGAAACCTACTAGCTTGTACTGAAATGTGGGGGCAGGATGGTGTTTAATACTTATTATTTAATATACCACGAGTTGTTCACTTTCATCTGTCAGCGGTTAAAACGGGATAAAATAAAATTGCTTTGTTTAATTTTCTCAGATCTTTAAATGCGGGTCTAACAGTTGGCTGTCCAAACAGAAATCTAGAAACCCATTAATGTAAATCTCTGCACATTAAGGTTCTAGTGGGTTTTCTGTGATGTTAGTGTAGAGTATGTTGAAAATAAAATGAGATTTATAGCACACACCACACCTAAATCATAGAAATGTTGATATACAGGGTGATCCAAAAAAACCCTGTACTACTTGTTTTGTTAATATTTTCCTCCACACTGAAGTTTTGCGTTTCAAATTTGTACACAGCAATTGTTGAGTGGATCCTTGTGTTTCGCAACCTCTGAGCATTACGAACGACGCGTAAAAATGTGTCGTGTCCAAAGAAGGACATATAGGTTATTGGTTCACGGAATTTAAAAAAAAATAAATAAAAAATCAAACTCTGTATGAGAAAAGACATATTGTTTAAAGGTTACAGGGATGGAAAGATTAGATTTCAAAAATAAAAGGAAAGGAAAAATCAAACCAATCATTTCTTGGTTTTCCTTTCAAGATCTTTTAAATTGATGTCCTTTTGCATTTATAGACGATTTTTGACAAAGCCATTTCCGTTTTTGGAAATATGTTTCTTCTTTGTGAACTTTATATCAAACAAAAATGAATTATATTCCAAATTAAAACATTCTAGTACAAATCTTGTACGAGATATTTTTTAAAAAGTTCTACAATTTTGTTTTTTGGATCGCCCTGTACATGTATTTGCATCAGCACATCATTTCATTTTTAACCCCTTTGAAACGCTGTCCAACAAGCGGGTGAATGAGTACTTTTCGAGACTCACGCGGTGATGAAATCGAAAAGCCTAGGGCCTACACTGAACTGATTTCGCTGGGACGTGTTGCTGTCTCAAACTGAGTTATTTGTAGGCTAGAGTACTATAAATCATTTATTGCAGGGATCCTGTGAATGTACCCAAAGGGCGGTGTTTACTATAGGGCTCAAATACAGAAATTTTAATTATTAGATCTATATTAAAAAAAAAGTATTTTTGCTTTGTCGCTGGCCTACAGGAGTGACATGCAACGGTAGGAATGCATTACTAAATTAAAACACACATATAAATGAGCTAGTTTTTTTTCAACGTGAACAGATGAAATTGAACGCGATATTAAAGCTTGTGAAGGCAAGGATGACGGCTCAGATTGTTCTTGTAAAAAGGCCATGCCGATGTCATACGCACGTGATGTCACTGACACGAACTTAAGTACTATTTATGCGCTCTTTGACTAAATACGCAGTGTGAGTCGTACTGTTTAAACCATAATTGCATCAGTTGTATAGTGTTTTGTCGCTGTGTCGCTCGCAGACTTTGGAGAATTTACTTCGAGTGCCGCTGTCTTTCTGCGGAGAGCATTGTATGCCGCTCAACTAAAGCTGGCCCTGCCTATCGAAGCCGGTCTCCTATTTGGTCTAGATCATCTCGATAGGGTCATACAAACACATACATGTAAAAATATAGTACGGCAAAACGAATGAGTGTAATGGGCAAAATAAAAATATTTCTTTCGTGCCATTGTACTTGCTCTTACAAATTCTGGTAGAATTTACCAGACTTCCACGTTGAAACAGACGTACGCAGCCAGAAACTAAATTCGTACGTGTATTGTTAAATAAGTGCTAAATTAGTTATTTGTAATGTCATAAACAAAAGTGAAAAGATCAAGCAAATTCAGCAGTTAAAATTTTTAAAAAAATAGATCTAGGGTATATTTTTACATCTCATACTTAATGTATAACAGAAATCAAACGAAGAATTGCAGCAGCTAAACATGGAACATCTCAATGACAACCAAAATAAATGATTTAAAAGGCCAATTGGCTGTGAATGCTGAACAATTGTCAAAGAAAGTGAACAATAAAATAGAAGCAACAGAACGAGTCACTTAAGGGATCAATGAGAATTTCGAGGAAGGAGAAGAAACCAAATGAGGCAACACTAAAAGAAGCCAGTGAAGGCCGCTCACTAATAAGATAAAAAACAATCAGAAAGAGACAAACGCAGATCCGTGGACAGTTGAAACAACATGAAGGCATGGAACATCTTGTTCTCACTGGTAAAACTAGAGAGCAAAAGAGGCAAGAGTAGACAAAGAACAATTTACTTTGACAACCTGAATAGATGGATGGCGGGGAATAACGTGGATAGTAATACTGGTAGAGCATCTGTGCAAAGATAAGAACAGCGAACCATGACTGTTGGTATCCGCTTCAGGAACCCGCGCTTCAAGTGAGATTAAAAAAAAAATTGTTTACACCCGGACGACCACTAATTTTTTCTTTTAAGACGTCTTTGATATCTTTTGCTTTTTTTCCTTTTGATTTCATTTGAACAGCTCAGTTTTATCAACAAAGGAGAACGCAGATCGACCTACTTATACACACATGATGAATACCTATCTAATTTCTTATATTCTGATGGCTAAATATTTAAGCGAGCTCTTCACATAAAAACATAGGCTACTTACTTTACTTTTCATTTTCCTACCTCTGGTATCCTTAGGATGTCGAAGGGAGATGCAGGTTTCGGCCCTGTGCTAAGTGTGTGGCGTCTGTGATAGATATATTATGCTGTTCCTGGACCTTTTAAACCCCACCCAGCCTTTCTTCGTCTTCTTGGTCGGATTCACGGGTGTGGTAAGCTCTTACCGCTAGTTGTTTCTTGGGCAGTCTGGTTAAATATCCGACCCTTTTGACTCTTTGACGCTCAATGAAATTTATTACAGGTGGTATTCCGGTTTGTAGGCGTATGGTCTCGTTCCTTATGCAGTCTCTTCTTGTGACATTGATGGTTTGCCGAGACACCTAATTTCGCATGCATTTTTACTGCTTTTGTAGGGACCATGATTGGTACTGGTATTTTAAGGTTGGTATGAAGATGCTATGGATAGCTGGAATTTCACTTCTGTTGGGATGTTCCTGTGATTGAGCAGAGGTGATAACTAGTAGGTCACTGCATTTGTCTTCATTGTTCTTGTTTCCATTTCTGTGTCCATACGCCCATCTTGTGTGAAAATGCTTCCAAAATATTTTAATTCCTCTACTTGTTGGTGTTGTG